TCCTGGTGGATACAGGAGCTCAGTACTCCGTCCTAAATAGGAAGGAGGGAAAGATCTCTTCAAAAACTAGCCTGGTCCAGGGAGCAACAGGGGCAAAGCGGTATCATTGGACAATGCAGCGACAGGTGAATCTGGGAACTAAGCAAGTGTCCCATTCATTCTTAATTGTACCTGATTTTCCTGCACCGCTGTTAGGAAGAGACTTATTATCCAAAGCCCAAGCCCATATATTCTTTCACAAAGATGGTGTCCAGGTTACCGATGGGGAAGGGTCCCCTCTGCAGGTTCTGATGATCGCCTTACAAGACGAATACCGTTTGTATAAAGGTGTGGAAGACCAACGTGCAGGCTTAATGGATATGGCTCCGTGGCTGGAAGAGTTTCCCCAAGCCTGGGCAGAAACTGGAGGAATCGGGTTGGCAAAACACCGACCACCCATTATTGTGAACTTAAAACCCTCTGCCACACAGGTAAGAGTCCAACAGTATCCCATGCCCAGGGAAGCCCGGGAAGGCATACAGCCCCATATCCAGTGGCTGTTAAGGGAGGGGGTGCTGAAGAGGTGCCGGTCTGCATGGAATACACCTCTCCTCCCAGTAAAGAAACCAGGGGGGGAGTACCGACCGGTGCAGGATCTGAGAGAGGTAAATTGCCGAGTTGAAGACATACACCCCACAGTCCCTAACCCTTATACGCTGCTCAGCAATCTACCCCAGATCATGTGTGGTATACTACCCTGGATTTGAAGGATGCTTTCTTCAGCCTGCCCTTAGCCCTGCAGAGCCAAGACATTTTTGCCTTCGAATGGGTTGACGAGACGGATAAAATCCTCGGCCAGCTGACCTGGACATGATTGGTCCAAGGGTTCAGGCACTCTCCCACTTTATTCGACGAAGCTTTGAGTGACAACTTGCATGAGTACAGGGGTCAAAACCCACAAATTACTTTACTACAATATGTGGACGATTTATTGATCGCAGCCCCCGATCGTGCAAGTTGTATCCAAGCAACCAGGGAACAGCTCACCACTCTGGGGGAGCTGGGATATAGAGCTAGTGCCAAGAAAGCTCAGATAGCTAAGCCAGAAGTCACATATTTGGGGTATAAGTTAAGGGCTGGGCAGAGGTGGCTCACTGAAGCCATGAAACAGACGATCCTACAGATTCCCCAACCCACAAGCCCAAGGCAGATGAGAGAATTTCTAGGAACAGTAGGTTATT